CATTCAAATTCAAAAATTGAAAAACATCTTTGTAAATAAGAAAAATAAATTTTGAATTTTTAACGTTTCAAAATAAAAATGTACAAAATTTTTGAAATAAAAAAAAATGATAATTTTTTCAATTTACATAAAAAATATTTTTAATTTACAAATATTTTCAATATTTTGAAATAAAAATGCACAACATTGTTGAAAAAAAATTGGAAGACATTTTTACTTTTTTTTTTTTGAAATTTTTTTTCAAATTCAAAAATTAAAACACATTTTCCTAAATTACAAGTTTTGAATTTTTAATATTTCGAAAAAACACACATTTTTTAAAATTTCAATTTTTTTAATAATATTTTTAAATTTGGAATTTTAAATACTTTGATTTTTTCAAATTCAAAAATTAAAACACATATTTCTAAATTAGAAATCTTGAATTTTTAATATTTCCTAATAAAAATGCACAACATTTTTGAAATAAAAAAATGAAAAATGAAAATTTCAATTTTTTTTAATTTTTTCAAATTCAAAAATTTACAAAAAATTTTTTTAATTAGAAATTTTGTATTTTAAATGTTTTGAAATAAAAATTCAAACATTTTTGAAAAAAAAAAATGGAAAATATATAAACAATAATATTTGAAATTTTCAAAATATTTAAATTGTAAATTTTAAATTCAAAATATTACAAAGTAAAAATTTTACTGAACTTTTAATATTTAATTTTTCTTTATATCTTTTAGTTTAAACAAATTAAATTTTTGTAGCAATTCTTTACATTAAAAAAAAAAATCCAAAAAATTGTTTACTTTTCAAAAAATTCCAAAAAAATCAAATGAATCAAATTCAAATATTTTTTATAAACAAAAGCATTTTATAATTCAAAATATATATAAAAATTTAAATTAGAATTTCAGAAAAAATATAGGTTTTTATAAAATTTTGTATATTTTTAATTCTAATGTTTTAATTTTTTTAATTAAATTCCAAACCTTTTTTCATTATTATTAAATTTGTTCTTTCATTCCATATGAAAAAAAATAAGCATTTCCATAAGAATACTTTCGTTCCATATTTAAATTTACCTTTTCAATCAATCCCACATGCCTTATCATCGAAACCCCAATCTTTCGATATAGTTCTCCATTCAAATGAATGTAGAAATTTATATCTGAAGAAAAAAATCTTTCCAATCTTCAAAATATTTATTAATAAAATATCAAGTTCTATGGGTTTATTTGGACACATTTTATGGCTCTTTTTTTGTGTTACGATAAATTCTAGCAACTACTAGAAGAAGGGGGCAGAGAGAAACCCCCACAATACAAAAGCTAAAAGTCAATATAAAATTCAACGTGTTAATGGTTAATGACTAGCTGACTGACTGCCTGCCTGCTTGATGACACTTTAAATGGTTTATGTTTCCTCTGCCCACTCCCTCTCCCCCTTTATTTTCTGCCATAAAATGTAACGTCAATACTCGGCGGTTTTTATTATATCGAAAAAATATGTGCCATAATTGTTTTCTTATCGTTAACGATTTACAACACTATCTGGGATTGCAGGGAGGGAATTTTGTTGTAACTCGATATAAAACAAAAGCAACATAAAATAAAGTTTTCCAAAAAAAGGTAATATTGCCACTGTTGCCATTAACACCAAAACCACAGTAATAATTTCCTAACGTTATTGCTATTGTTTGAGAAGTTTAGTTGGAAGTTGGGAGGAGAGTGAGAGAGAGAGGGAGAATGATATGTGAAGAAGAGTTCATTCACTTGCCATACAAATGCCATTGATTTTTTATGACTAACTGCAAGGTATTTTATTTTTTTATTGAATTTTCCTAACTAAAATAACCTCGTTTACATCAACACCAACCAAAAAAAAAATTATTACCTTTGCGGCAACAACAAAAACAATATCCAAATATTTAGTAAAGGTTTCTTTTGTTGAATGTCAAGTGTAACGTAGAAGGGGAGCAGCAGCTATAGAGTTACAAGAAAACAACATGAACAACAACAACACAACAACCGACAACGACGACGACAACATAAACAAATAAACCTTATGAACGAACGAATGACGACGATCATTATTTGGTAATTATCGACAAAAATTCTAATAAACAACAATTGAACAAATCAAAGGAGAAGCAAAGAGAACAACAACAACACCAAACACACCTTAAACGAACGCTAAGACGACTCTGGTTAAACTCAATCATCTCCATTGAGTCTCTCTGTCATCATCCCAAGCAAATATGCAACAACAACAACAACGCACATACACATGCACGAATCAATTAAAAAATCCGAAGGAAACTAAACACGAACGGTAATGAGATTACACCATTACTGCACAACATAAGACACGTGTGTAACTCGGCTCTGTGTGGAGTGTGGCGGTGGCGTCGGCAGATTTCGTATGTGTACAAGAGTACACACATTACTCTGTTGCGTGCGTGTGGTTTATGGAGAGTAAAGAGATCTCCCAATGATAACAACAGTAATGATAATACCAACAACAAATGATAACTCGTACATTTCTCATCGGATGCGTATGCGAAACGAAAAGAAAACTATCATTGGCATTCGTGTCTTCTATAAGTGTGCATGTGTGTGTGTGTGGTTAAACGATTTCTTGTGTTATTATTTTGCTTTTGTGATACCTATTGTTTTTGTTGTCTCTCTCTCTCTATTAAATCATTTAATGAGTGGGGGAGTCAACAGATCAACCAACAATGATTGATATGAACTATTGTAACCAAACACACAGATGCACACACACACACACATTATGATAAGGAAACAAACAAAAACAAAACTACTAATGCAAGCATTTATTTTGCCATTGTTTTCATTAAATGGAGTAATGCCATTTTCATGTAGCTAGACTTACAAAAATAAATAGTTAGGGATTAAATGGGCCAAAAAAGAAAATGGGGGACTAAAGGAATATAGAGGGTGTTAATAAAAAAATGAATAATTGATAATAATGGCCATGGTGGCCTATATTGTCTATTGTAATGCTAAACAGAGATAGAATGGCTTATGGTGGAAGATAGTGTTGGGTCAAAAACAAAAAATTGCTAAGTTGGCATAGTAACGGAACTGATTTGGTGTAAAAAAATAACTAAAAAAAACTACACGTAGATCTTCTATAAAATTATTATTTTCAACAACAATATAAAAAAAATATTTTTTACAAAAATAAAATGTTAAAAAAAAACACAAAAAGAATAAAAAATAAGAAAGTGGAAAAAAATTAAATTCTTAATTTTTATTGTTTTTTCTCTACAAAATAATGTATAAACTATTAATTATTTTTTTTCCAAAAAATATGAAGCGTTTCAAGAATTAAAAAACAGATTTTAAAAAGGAGCTGCGGTGAAGAAACATGGATAAAGATTAAAAAATAAAAATTATGAATAAAAATATTTGTTTAAGAGGCCAGAAAAGTCGAAATAAATTTTTATGACAAAAAAAATATTTTTTGTATGCTTCTATTTGAAAAAAATAAAAAAATAATTTTTTATTGAGCTGCTGCGAAACATAGATTTTTTAAAAATTGATTTTTATTATACCCTCCACCATAGTATGGAGGGTATATTAACTTTGTCATTCCGTTTGTAACTCATCGAATTATTCATTTCCGACCCTATAAAGTATATATATTCTTGATCAGGGTAAAATTCTAAGACGATCTAGCCATGCCCGTCCGTCTGTTGTAATCACGTTAACTTCTGAATTGAGGTAGGGTGCTGAAATTTTGCATAGGTTTGTCTTTTGTGTGCAGGCAGGTCAAGTTCGAAGATAGGATATATCGGACCACGTTTAGGCATAGCTCCAATATAACAGTACCCCTCACTTTTCGGTATTTTGGGGTTCTTGAGCGCATTTTTTAACCGAATACGCTGAAATTTGGTACATTGGGTTCTTATTGGGTACTAAATGCCTCCATAAAAATGTTTAAATATTGCCCCATTTTTTCTGGTAGCCCCCATATAACGATACCTCCTAATTTACAATATTTTGGGGGGTTTGATCGTATTTTTCCACCGAATTGGCTGTAATTTAGTATTTTGAGTTCTTAATAAGTACCAAATCTCTCCACAAAATATTATAAATATAGGTCCATTTTTGAGGACAGCCCCCATATAAGGGTACCCCTAATTTTCGGTATTTTGGGGTTCTTGAGCGCGCTTTTCAACCGAGTTCGCTGCAATTTGGTATTTTGTTTGTAGAAATGTCGGTATAGGTACACTTTTTGGTATGTTCCCTATATGTTTATTTCAAGTACCTGTGATTATATCTATGTTGGAGGGTATCCAATGTTCGGCCCGGCACCTAACCAACTTCGAATTTAACGCTTTTTCACTTGTTATAATTTTTATTGTTTTTTTTTTAAATAAAAACACAAATTTTTATGAGGGAAATGTACAAAAAAAATATTTTTTAAGAAATATAATAAAATTAATAAAACTTCTGCCCTTCTCTATGAGAAGCCCAATTGTTATTTAAGGATTTCCTTTAAAATTTAAATCTCATTTATTAAATAAATCCTTTTCAAATCTTTGCTGAGCTTGGCAACATGGCAACACTTGACATTTATGAAGTACCCTTAAAAAAGTTCTCATAGTTTCGAAAAAATACAAATGTTGGCAAAGTTTCAAAAACAACAACAACAAATTGCTTAGCAAAGTCATAAAATGTTAATAAATTTTGCCTGCCTTGCCATTGAAAAGTTTTAATTGGGAAATTACAAACCAATTTTGTTCATTTTTTGCACATTAAATGACCCTTTAAACAAACTTGTGCCATAAATATTAAAAAATTTTGAGAAATAATTACTTTTTTTAAGGGACTATAATTTATAATAGATCGGATTAATAATTATGAGAAAATTTTTGCCATAATTTTAAAATGAATATTTTTCAAAAACGATAAATTTTTATTACAGTTTTTTAATATTTATTTAATTTTGTAATTATTTTTTTTCATTATTTTTTTCAGGTGGTGATTTCGGGTGCATTATGTACAGTAGAAGATTATGTAATAATGTCACAGTGTGCACACAACAAAGCCATATATTTAGCTGCAGAAGGAACAGTCTCAGTGACAGATATCTCACAAACACGTAAGTACAAAGATACCAATTTGAAATTTGTTTTCTTGCTTGACATTTCAGTGAGGGAAAAATCCATAAATAAAAGTCTGGGTTTTAGGTCTTAAATTTTTCAAAATCGACACCACAACCAACAGTCAACAACAAATTGTTGTTTTTTGTTACTGCCATTATTTATTAATGAGTTTTTAAAGACATTTCTAATGATCGACATCTTCAGCAACAGAATAAAAAAAAATAATAAATAAACTTCAAAACGTCTTGGAAAAATCTATTGGGTGTCCATCAAACCAACTCCACTCGATAGTTAAACAACATTTAACACAAAAAAATGTTAATAGGCCTGGGAATTATAAACAAAATCGGTTATTTTTTTCATTTTATTTCTTATACCTTCTCCATCTACTCTTCAATTATTTATGCATTTCAACGTGACATACATACAAAAAAAATAAATCCACACATTCACATTTCTTGTATTTCTTTCTCTCTATACATAAATAAATAAATGCACATTGTCATTGAGCCAGCGAAGTGTGTAAGGGGAGGGGGTTGGGGGGTCTTTGAGTAGTGGGAAATTTTTTGAAATAGAAATTTTTCCATTTCCACAGTCTATTTGTTGAATATATTAACACCAACAAAAAAATAAGAAGATGAAATCGAAAAAGAAATACCAGAATCTCAATGGAGTAGTGGGTTAGAGATGGCCCAAGTCATGATGATTTGGATGGACAGTTCAGCCAAAATGTTATTTATGATTTTTTTCATGGACACTCTTCAATGAGTTATTTAAGAGATGAGGTCACTTAATGACCATCAATCCGCTAACACTATTGAAATCAAAGCAATATAAATTTTTTCAATCCACGCTTATAGAAATATATTTTTACGAAAAATTCATTTTTTATAACTATTTTTCCCGAATCTTCCCTTCATGCCACTTCCCATGTGAATATTTTCATAAGTATCAACAAATTTGCACTTCAAAAAAATCTTAAATTATTTCGATAAGTCTCCCAATTTCCACAACTTTGAAATTTCTAATAAAAACGTTAAAAATCAATTATTAAGTTTTACTGAATAAAAATTAAAAACTTTCTAACGATTCCCAGTTATTTTTTTTTTAATCCACACTTATGGAAGGTCGTAAAAATATTCACGAAAAATAAATTTTTTAAACTATTTTTCTCACATCTTCCCTTCATAGCACTTCCCATGCGAATATTTTCATAAGTATCAACAAATTTGCACTTCAAAAAAATCTTAAATTATGTCTTTAAATCTGCCACATGTCCACAACTTTGAAATTTCTAATACAATTGTTGAAAAAATCAATAATTTAGTTTTACTGAGAGAAAAATTAAAAACTAAACTTTCTAACGATTCCCAGTTATTTTTTTTAATCCACGTAAAAATATTCACGAAAAATATAAATATTTTTTAAATTAGTTTTCTCGCATTTTCCCTTCATGGCACTTCCCATGCGAATATTTTCATAAGTATCAACAAATTTGCACTTCAAAAAAATCTTAAACTATGTCTTTAAATCTGCCAATTTCCACAATTTGGAAATTTCTAATACAATCGTGGAAAAAATCCATAATTTAGTTTTACTGAGAGAAAAATTAAAAACTAAATTTTCTAACGTTTTCCATTTTTAGGATTCCTATGCAGGTTTTTCTTTCAATATTCACTCTTTGAATTTTTAACATTCCCTCCAACTTATCAACAAATTAGCACTTCAAAAAGTCTTCATTTTTTTTTAAATTAGTCCTATGAGCCAATATTTGTAATAAAGTTTTATCTTCAAATTATTTTTTACATACTATGTCAAAATATTTTTGTAATCACCCACCGTAGTCGCTCCAGCTCGTCTGACTTTGTCGATGTCCGATAATGGTTCATTCCATGCCGATATACACCGTCTTCGCAGATCCGCCCGTAGATCTTCCGGAGAATATTTCTCTCAAACACTCCAAGTGCTGTCTCATTTGCTTTTATTTTTCAATATCCAACAAATTAAGCAAATATTTTTGAAAACTCAATATATTTTAAAAATATTTCATAACTGCAAACAAATATTTTTTTTAATTGCAAACAAGTTTTCTTAATTTTTTAGACCCAAGGATTTTTAAACCAATATTTTTTTTATTCCCAGAAAATTTCAAAATACTTAAATCATGAAGCTCTATTCAAAGTCCTCCGCACCTTTAAATGATCTGCACTGTTACCACAAATCCTACAAAATATTTCAAACCATTCAAAAACAAACATTTAATTTTTTTTGGAGGTAGATCCTTAAAAATTACCATTCGATGTGCTCTATCCAGGCGACTTAATCGAGCAGCTGTTTTTTGTTCTTTCCTTCATTCTTTTATTCCCTTTCCTTCTGTTTTTGCAAACATCTGCAAATGAAATTTTTTGCTGACCTCATCCTTGTCGGCATGGTTTTAAGGCTAATACAGATAATAGTGGCATGACTTGGCCAATTAAAACGCCCAAAACTACTACTACTATGCCGCTTGTATTGCTGTGTGTGTCCCGTCTGTTTAGTATTAGCAACTAATGTGTCTAAAAATGCCAATTGTTTTTTGGTAATTTAGCACGAGCTAACATTCAAACACTCACAATGGCCGAAGGATAACAAAACAGGAAAAATTTTTGCTGAGGCATCTATCCATACATTGATCACCAGAACACATGGGAGGTCTAACGGTACTTGGAAATAAGTAAAGAAAAACTACACAAAAAATAAAAGCAAATCATATGTTAAAATTCTTTGTTTAACTCACTTTAGCTCGCCTATAAAAACTCCCTTCAGATCGCCTTAAAAGACTCCCTTTAGCTCACCTATAAAGAATTCCTTCTGCTCGCATATAAAAACTCCCTTTAGCTCGCCTATAAAGATTACTTTCAGATAGACTCCTTTCAGTTCGCTTATAAATACTCCCTTCCTGTTCTCTATAGAGGCTCCTCGAGCTCACAACTGAAGACTCTCTTCAATTCGACTTTTTTCTACCTTCATATCATACACTCTCTTAGTTTTTTTGTGTCATTCATGACCAGGGAGTTAAGATCATGAACGGCATAATTACACTGTGGATTTTTCACATATTTCCCCATTATTTCCCATCACATGAGTATATATTTTTTTTAATTATCAACAAATTGGCACTTAAAAAATCTGAAATTATGAATATAAATTAATTATCAACAAATTGGCACTTAAAAAAAATCTGAAATTATTAATATTAATTTTTATTACATGCTTAATATTTTTTGAAAAATATTTATTCAAGCTACTAACATAATAAAATTCCACAATTTTGGGATCAAAAAATACTTCGATTATTGTTCTCCCAACTTATTTTCGCTGGTCCCTTCTCTCGCACTCTCCCTCTCTCTGTCTGTTTTTTAGGTATTTTCTGTTCTCTGTCATGTATGACAAAATTAATTCACTGTATGTGGATTTTTTTCCACTCATGTCCGTCACTAGACACCAGTTTACAGGTGCAAAAAGAGTATTTAGGGATTATTGCAGCATACCAACAAAATATAATTTATGGCTTAAAGTACTTTGCCAATACAAATAAAATTCAACAATAGGATGTCCTTCAAATAAAAACACTGGCTCCTTTATCTCTTCGCCTCACTAAATATGGGAAAATCCCCTAATTAAATTGTTTGCACTCTCTTATCCTCCGGAATCGGTGTCCGGCGGATTTGTTTGTGTATTTTTACACATTTAAGGCGAGATTTGAGAGATTTTATGATGGGTTATTAAGCTTCTAATCCTCTAATGGGTACTTAAAACCCATTGGTGGTGTGAGCGATTGTCTGTGTGAAGAGCGTTTCTTTTGTCAATTTAACGCCTACCACTTGCCACCTACTTCAGTTATCTAGCGGGAAATCTTTCACACATTTTGCAATTGCTTTAAGGGTCCTTTAGCAATAATTTGAATATCTGTATGTGGAAAGTTGGCATTGACCATTCATTAGATTTGGTTAGTAGGGTATACTTTACCTTACATACGAAGAGTGTGAGATTTAACACACCGTCCTGTTTTTATTGTTATGACCTGTGTGTTTGTTTGTCTCTTCCTCTTCTCTGTTGTAAAACATAAATCTCTTCCATTTATTCTTTGCCATGATTTATGATCAGGACAAATCTATGTCCTTCGTGGCTTTCCTTACCACTGCCATACCAATAAACAATAGAAGCGTGCACATAATGGCTCTACACTCAAGTCGTTGTAAAACACAACAACAACAAAAAATCTAGAATTTAATTGCCATAATTGTTGTAAATAACAACATACGTATAACATAAATCCTTGTTTCTGTTGTTGTTGTAATTGTAATTGCGGTTCAAAGGACAGTTGTTTTTATGTTGCAACGCAAGTATATGGAGTTTGAAGTGTTTTGCAGAATATTTATGGTTTTTATATTTACCGATATTTGTACACAAACAAAGAGAGGGAAAGAGAGAGAGGGGAAACCATAAATTGCACCATTCATCCCTCCCTCTCAATTCCATTCTATTTTATTTCTAGATTTCTGTGGAAACTCCCACTTTATCAACTCCTCCCTAAAAATTTTGTCAGCACTTTTGTGTTTTTGCTTACCTGTAATTTTTATTATTACATAAAATAAATTTTGTGGTCTAACATAAAATCATAATGTATGTAGCGAGGTTTGTTTGGGGACAGGCAAATTGCATGCGTATTTTATTTAGGGTCCAGCTGTTGCTTTCTAATTTGTCCTTTTTTGAACACTTTCTAATGATGATGACATCTGTGTTCGATTTTATTCGAAGGGGAGTGACTAAAGATTTATTTTTGTGTTACGCCTTAATTAGATTTCAGAGGAGAACATAAATAATGTAATTTTAATATGGATATCAAGGACAAAATGGAAATATTTGGAATACGAAATCAAAATCATAAAAATGGTAACCCAAACAATCCGCTAACACTACCGAAATCACAGCAATATATATTTTTAGAACCACG